TTTGCTTTTTTGTGGGTGCCAGTCTTGATACCCCTGTACTATCCATATCTCCCACACAAGTTTTAATTCAGTTCCTTTACCTATTCCTGAGACGTCCTCTTACTGACCTGTAAAATCTGACCTTTATTCATCAACAGGCACTTGATGAATGCTGTCTAATTTGATAGGTAGCGTTTAAAGTTTGCATGGTAATAATACTAGAGATTTTGGGTAAGATTAAACTATAAATATTGCACAAATCTATAAATTCCAACAGGGCTTTACTAAAAAATAATTTGCTTAATTAAAAAATCCAGACAAAATTGAAAAGGAAGGAATGAGTTTTGTGTTGTTTCTAGCTTTGCTATTTCCTTTCATGTGCTGATGGTGCTTGCAGGCTTTAATATCTAATTTAGATCTGGAAATCCATAACAAGGAACCTGTGAAAAGCTACTCACTTTTATAAGGAAAATAATTTTTTTGTGCCCCTCTCCCCCGTTGCAGCCTAAGGCAATTCTATAGGAAATGTCTTAAGGGACTGCTCTTGAGAGAGGCAAAATCCTGACTTCTTTACAGTAGTGTTAAATGAAGTCATGGTAACAAAATGACTATAAATAGGTCATTTTCCATAGTATAGCAGTCTTGTATATGTTTTCATATTTTTGTGGTGTCTATTTAGAGAATAGACATATTTAGCCTTAGTATTTCAAAGCCACAAAAGGCATGAAACAGAGGGGTTGTGGTTTTGCACTGATGAAACAGCTTTGTGCTCATGTGAGTGCAGGTTTATTTCATGTGATTGTGTGTTTAAAAAACCCAAAACACCTGTGTGGGATGTGGTACCCAGGTGTTGGCAGTGGGAGAGGGCTAGTTACAGCTGGTTCCACAAGAGACGGGCTCCAGGGCATGGCTGAGCCCCTTAGCAAAGCTGGGGACACCACTGGGAGAGCAGGGTTGAGAAGGGGCAGCACAGTGAAGGTGAGGGGGGAAAAAAGAGCAGGAAACAACCCCACGAACTGCCGGGCCAGAGCGGGAGGAGGGGAGGAGGCGGTGGAGCAGGAATCCACACTGTAGAGCATGGGGAGGACCACACCAGAAGTTTATCCTGAAAGACTGCAGCCCATGGGGAGGACCATGCTGGAGCAGGGGAGGAGTGTGAGGAAGAAGGAGCAGCAGGGAGAAGCTGCCATTTCCCTGCTGAGAGGGAGGAAGGGTGTCAGAGTCAGGAATGCAGGAGTGAAGTTGGGCCTGGGAAGGGGGGGACGGGACACTCAAGGTGTTTTGAGGTTGGGGTTTTTTGGGTTGGTGTGTTTTTTTTTCTGTTTCTTACCACCCAACTCTATTTTAATTGGCTATAAAGTAAATTGATTTCCCTCAAGTCAAGTCTGTTTTGCTAGAATGGTAATTGGTAAGTGATCTTCCTGTCTTTATTTCAACCACAAATACTTTAATTTTTATTTCACCACCACCCCCCTGGTCTGTTGAAGAGGGGAGTGAGAGAGCGGCTGGGTGGGGGCCTGGTAGCCAGTAAAGGTCAACCCACCACAGCACCAAACCCATCTTTTGGTTTTTGATCTCCATAGGGTTAATATGGAGTCATTCAAACAAAAAAAAATAACACCAGGATTCCACTTTTTGATGTGTAGCTGTGTATATGAAGATTATCCAAGCACTGATAAGCGGGACTTGTTAGTAGTAACAGATGAAAGAAACACAGCAAATGCATTTTGTATCTGGGGATAGTAAAATAAGGCAACAAGGTGTGCTAGAGGACAGGCTTGTGCTGCTTGTAAGAAGAGTCCTCAGTTTGTTAAGGCTGTCCCGATGCTTTGTCCCTAACACACCTTAATTATTGCCATAGACATTTTTGCATAAATCCTTACTTTTATATTCTGGATGTAAAACATTTGCCAAATATGTTCATAAATGTACACAGCAGATCATTCTGGATGGACTGATACAGTGCTCATTGCTTGGTAACCTGTGACAGAGTGAGATGAAAAATGGAAAGTTACGGGTTGTATGAAAGTTTACTGTAAAACAGAATGGATACTTACATATGAGATTTACTGGCATTTTTTTTATTTAGCTACTAAGAAGATGACAAAGTTTCGGGTTTGTTTATGGTGCTACCCTGACTAAAATTGCTTAAAGTTATTTTTTACTGAAAATGTCATGTCCAGGGTCCTCTGTTTCTATTTAAGCAGGTTTTCTTTACATGAGGGAAGGAATCCTGATCAGCTTAGTTTAGTATTGCATTTTGAAGGTCTTTTTTTCTTGAAAGAAAGAAGGCAGAGGAAAGTCATTAAAATATGTGCACCTCCTTCCTTCCCTCCCTTATGGAGCTCTAATAAGCTATTAGTCGCTAGACTCTTGTGGTGTGAGGAGGGACGTTATAAACTGTTGTTTGACTGCTTCAAACTCTTTACTGCTCTCAAGCCTGGAATTAAGCTACCTTCAACTCTGTTCTAGCTCTGCTTTCTCTCTCACAGGTCTTTTCCTTCGCTTCCGTGGGTCTTGCATCTGTGGTTCACTTCATAACTGCCTGACATCACAGCTACAGCTTCTCTAGCTTTCCACATACTGATACGTCTTCTTCCTTCCTCGTAGGGGACCTTGTCTTTTCTGAAAAGGACACCATATGTTTAGCGCTCTGCTCATCAGTCCTTGCTTCTTCTGTTTAAAGCAGATGAAATATTTTTTGAAGAATAAGTCTGATAACTAAAGCTGAAAAGGGCGTATTGTCGTGATCGTGGAACACGAGAGGTATTTGAGGTTTGAGAGAGGTTTGAGTTTGAGGGTTTTTCTCTTGTTTGGATCATTGCCTAGGACCTAATGTGACCAGCTTTGACAAAATTGTATTCTACAATCTCATTTCTCATATTTGTAAGTACTTCTGACACTTATGTAAAAAGTAACTGTGTAGAAATAACTCCAGAACATACAGTAATTTCACCAGCATAGTGTTCTGGACTTGAATTCGTCTATAGCCTTTAACCATCATTAGAAGAGTGAGGGAGTGGCTCTTTCAGCAGTTTTGTTTGGTAAATACAAATATGAATATTTTTTGAGCTGACTCTCATCATCATTTACGTGCCAACTGTTTTATTGATAGATATGTCTAATTTGTTTATTTGATACTCCCCAACTCCATTGTCTTCATCTTCTGTTAGAAGAAGTTACAACCTGTTGTTGTTCATGTAAATAGCATATAAAAATGGACATTCTCTATACCTACTGTTGTCTTCAGGTTATGCAGGACTTAATTTGGACCACGCATAGTGAAAAAAACTAAAGACAAATCTAGTCACTTTGTACTTATCAGCTATGCATGATTATTATCTTCCTAGAATAAGTATTTTCCGCCCTGGAAATATATGCCTTTCTATTGGATCCAGTGTCTATATTTCATTTTTTCAGGCGGGACCAGAACCAATGTTGATGCATAGTTGAAAGATGGTGCATCGTTTCATCTCAGAACTGTTTGATAAGAACAGCAGTTGATTCCATCTGTGCTTAAACTGCTTCAGCAAAACAGATGTGTAATCAGGTTCAGAGAAATCAACAAATTGCTGATCAAAACGGAGTGCATCAAAATCTGTTTTCCTAAGTCGTGCAAACTTAGTGGTCTTCTAGGAGAATAAACTCAAGTGGATGGAAATTCTTTTTTCATCTCATCTTACCTATTTTTTGTAAAACAAGTGAAAAATCTTTTTTTCTGATAATATGTTGCAGTAGAAAATACATTTTTCTTTGTGGGTGTTCCTCTATGACATCTAGTTTTGACAAATGCAGGTATCTTCATTTAGAGAGCTTTTATAAAACACTCATTTACAAGCAGAAATGTGGTCAAGACAGTGCTGGCTTGTGAAGTTCAGTCCGTCTAGTCAATGTTTTCCCCAGGTGAAATGCAAACATTTTTGCATACAGGTAGGAATGGAGCTTAGTTGTTTAAAAAAAAACCAGCGTTCAACTGCAACAGGAGATTTTTTTTTTTTTTCTGCTCACAATCCTCGTTCATTGCACATTGGCCATTTTGTGCAGTATGAGACATGGCTGCGTAGACAAGAGCCACCTTGATGCACAGTTCTCATCTAGCAGATAGTGGAGTAGCTTTGCCACACTTCCTTATCTTATGGGTGCTTATAGGTGGCCTTGGTGGTTAACTTCGGAATTTCTTCTTTGTGGGCTTCCCATATAGTTATTTCCTGCAGGGGGAAAAGACTATTTCCACTTCTGACTGTGTTTTGGGGGTTGGCTTGGGGTTGTTCTCCCCCCTCCCCCCAATATTTGAAAAATACTATTCTTTTTGGAAAGGATTGGGTGTTAGTTGTTTAGATTTTGGGGGATTGTTTGGGGATTTTTTGGCTGGTGGTGGTAGTGTGGGGTTTTTTTACTGTAATTTTCCTTTTTTAAGGTAATTTTGCAGGTGGATTTTATCATTAATTGCTTTAGTCCCTTTTAGAGTGCAGATAATGAATATTCATATCTCCCCCTAATATGGGTAAACTTTAGTAATTGGAATATCAAAACTATTAAAAGTGGTTTTCTGTTGTGGTGAGTCATTGTTGCTAACTCTTCAGAACCATTAAGGTAGCTGCTGACAGAAAACTAACTTTCTCACCTCTGTTACTCTAAATCTAAAACTTTGAATTTATTATATGATTGGGATAAGTGATCCCTGATGCACATAATGAATCCTCTTACCTATAGCATTAGGCTCCATCAGAAAATGGGCCCCTTAGCAGATCGAGCCTCAAGTTCAGAAAGAAAAAGTTACTCAATTGAAATAGCATCAGTTAACACTACTTTTTGATATAAATATTTTAAAGCTTGTACAAACTGGATTAATGTTCCTCTAGGGTAATTAAATGAAAATTTGGTTACTTATTAATCTCTCTCTCTTTCTTCTTTCTCACACTAAAAAACTTACTGATCTCTCTCCTCCCCTCTTCCTCCCTCCCCTTCTTTCTTTCTTTCTCACTCTCTTCCCCTCTCCTCCCAAAAATATGCTTTTACAGAAACATAAGGTAGATCTTTTCTACAAACTGCGCCATGTGATGAATGAACTCATTGACCTACGTAGACAGCTGCTGTCAGGTCACTTGACACAGGATCAGGTGCGAGAGGTCAAGAGACACCTCACAGTGAGGCTGGACTGGGGCAATGAGTAAGTACAGGTACCAGCTGGGTACTGTTTGTTCTAATTATTTTTCAATAGCTTTTATTAAAAAAAAAAAAACAAAAACCAAACCAAACAAGCAACAACTTTTTCCTTCCAATAGTATTTCTACACAGGTAGAACATTGTTATTTGGAAATCAAATACAACTTCCTACAGTGAGTTTATTGCACAGTTCCTCTGCTGTTTCTGTAAAATGAGCTGCTTGCTTATTAGTAGGTCTTTTCTAAGACTATCTGTGCTTTTAAAAGTTTTAGGTCAATCTGCTCACTTCGTATCAATATAGTGAATATTAGGCCTGGGAGTATGTGTTCAGAGATACTAAAAACCCATTTGTCAGTTGAAGAAGTATTTTAATGCTTGGTGCAATAACTAGAGAATCTCACTGTCAACAGTGACAGTGGAGCTAAGGCTGTGATATTTAGACTTTTTATATAATTACAACACATAATCTATGTATTTGGCTGTTGATGACATTTCTTGGAGGTTTAGACTCCCGTTGGTGAATTTGTGGAGAGTATTTTTTAGAGCCAAAGATGACTGCAATTCAGATAGAAGCTGAAAGGGTAATAAATTGCCATTAGACAAAAAATAGCCCTTCACCAGAATTGGCTTTGTTCTGAGATGTAGTGTGTCAGACAGGTAAGTTTTGCATGACACTCAGATGACCTTTTCAAAGGAAGTATCACCCTCAGGCATATAGTGACTGCTTTTCAACTAGGAGTTGCTAATTAACTTATGGGGGAGGAATTCTGTAAGTGGACAACTAAGGAAGAAAGTCAAATGTTTTTTGCTAACATATCTTTGTTATGACTCTGTTCCTTAGTCACCTACTTCAGGACTCCCTAAGAGAGACATACTTGAATACATTCATGAAGATTTAGCTAGCCCCCATGCTACATTTCATTTCTCTCTTGTTGAAAGCAAGCTTTGAAGGACATAGACTAATAGATTGCTTCAAGTCATTGTTCTGAGTGCAGTTACAGATATTTTCTGTTATCATTCCCAGTAGAGTAAATGGGAACCAAGAGACCATTTTTGAACATTATGCCTAGACTTTTTGCTCAAACAGTCTATGGATAAAATTAGCAACAGGAAGCTGTAAAAATGTGGTAGGCAAAAGAGATGAGAGTAGACAGCAATGCAGCAATGAAGAGAATAGGCTGTTCAATGAGGTGGCTATAGACTTTTTTTAATGTAAAATCATTAAATACGAAGTACATTAAAACTATAAAGGTAAATCTAATGCATGAAAGTTATGGAGAAGCATCAGTGAAATCAGTAAACATAAATATGTTAAAGATTAAATTCATCTGCTCAGGATGCATGTTTAGGAAAAAAAATTCTGTGTTTCTTACTACATAAGAACAGATACTGACCTCCCTAGAGAAAAAGGTACATGGTATCAGAGATACCTGCTGTGATAAATGACCAAGTCCCGAATAGGGTTTCAGTCAAAATTAACAATTTATTAAACGAATAAATGCAAGCAAACAGCGCTGGGTGCGCCGGGAGCCTCTGCTCTACCAAGACGCACACCATACAGTTCTTGTTTCTGGTTTATATACCCCCCAGCAATAGGCGGGTCTTGAACTCCTCCCTCCCCCTCCCCCTGTGAGGAGGCGGCTGGGGGGTGTGTGCAAGGTAAGAACTACATACATTAACCTCTCTGCCCTTCTTAGGGTTGTGGTTATACAAGTGTATGTTATCATGCGGCCCTAGTACTGTTCCATATTAACACGAATCAGATGGACATATATAACACCTGCTTAAACAGAAAAGGGTGTCAAAGGAACTGCGTAAGAAGGCATATGATTGAAAAGATATTTAATTAAATCTGTACGTTGTGCAATATTCAATTATAAATGTCTGGGAGTTTGGAAGGTCTTTCTGCAACATCACTCTCTTCCACAGAATTTCTGGAAGAGTTCTGTTACTCTTTTATCTCCCCTCTCTGAGTTTTATCATGAAACTCATAATCCCATGTCTTAATCTGTTGAAGAACCTAATGATTTTCATATATATAGTCACACAGTACTGCCCTTTCTCAATTAATGTAGTAATGTTCATTGCTTATTCTGTTATACTTGAGATTTGCAAATAAAATAAATGAAAAATGTTGGGTTTAATATGCATTAATGTTAAGTGAGAAGCTTAAGTACATGCAATTGGAGCAGGTCTGTATTATTCAAGATAGTACAGTCTAATAAGAGACATGCTATGACCAAGTAGCTTTCAGAAAACGGGTAATCTTACACATCTAGTATGTAGCTTGTGTGCTTATTTAGTGTGAAGCTACTTTTATCCTGACCTTGATAATTAATGCATTGTATTATTTAGGAAAGTGTGATGGAAACGTGAAATTCACACTTCTGTCCCCACCAGTTAAGGTTTTTTTTCATTTTGTTGAACTGATACAGTTTTTCCTTAAATACAGTGGCAGCGGTTCTGGTAGTCATCCCCTGTGTTCTTGATGGAGTTTGTGGAAATCAAGGGACAGATACACTCCTTGGATTAATAGTTACAGATCTTTTTGTGAAAGAAGTTATGTAGACTGTTTTCAGAACTACTGCAGTGAACTGCTTTTGCTTATCATTGTATACTTGGTCTAAATAGTAAGTTTTGCTCTGTAGTTTGATCTGTTAGAAATGTAGGAATATAATTTATTTTACAGCTATTGCTGCTGACCTTTTGTATTGTTGCTAGTCATTCTCATGATGCAATGCTGACTTCCACTTATTCTAGCAATTTAATTTTCTATTGCTTAGACATTTTCTCCCCAGTACAAAAATACGATCCTGCATACATCCTTTCTGTGATGCTTTGTCACCTTTTCCAGTTTCCCACAGTTAGCTTGATTGTGTATGCATATAGTGACTGGTATTCCTGCTATATAGGTTTTTGTATTTCCCAGTTGCTCAAAAGAGCAGAATTTACTACCTTCAGATAAGCATCTTAGTGGTTTTAGACTTTCAGTTTTAAGTGTCCTTCTGTGTATTTTTACACAGCTGAAACCTCATACACTCCCGCGTTTTTCCTGCATGGCTTACTAGGTTTTATACAGAAAGTTACATATATTTGTGCTTTTTATAAATGTTTCACACTGAAACAATTTATTAGAATATGGGTCTATTGAAGTCTGAAATGCTATTGGAAGTGTCCAATGGTTTGTAAATAACAAGGACAAATTTGTAGAGCAGGAAACAAACATTATAAAACTTAAGTCTGCAATTCATCATCTCATTTTAAATCATGCTGCAAGTAAAGTAGAAACTTGATTTTGAAATCTTTGTTTAGGTTTTTTTAAATGAATGGGTAAGTTTTTCAACTTCTGTTAGTGCTTAGAATGGAAAGCCAGAATTAAACTTTTTTTACTAACAAAGCCCTGTTTCATTCTAGAGTCTCTTGCATCAAAAACAGATGAAGGAATCTGCCTTACAGAGTTTCTATTTGAAATGTGAATGCTCTGCTTCTGCTCCAGTGCAAAAAATTAATTGCCCCAGTGTGTGCATACCTTATTTACCAAAAAGACAGAGGAAGATTTCTTCCAAGTAATTTAACTTAACAACCAGAGGTCATCTTAAATTCTTTCAGAGTAGTATAGTATATGTCAGGAGATTAATAGAAAAAGCATCCAAGCTTCTGAGAACAATCACTTTCCCTTTTATACTGAGGGAAGATACTTCCTTCCCTGTAAATGTGGGATAGATTTAGGCTCAGAAACAGAGTAGGGGAGGGGGAGCCACCAATACTTTGAGATTTTGGACAGATAAAAGCCATAAACAAGATGAGTTTGTGAGCTTATGTTACTTTTCAGTCAAACATTACTCTTTTTCATATAAAATCTTATTAAAACTGTTGCATTAAAAGAAATTTTCGAGATAGTTGCCATAAATTCTGCACAGAAAAATCCACAAATAGCCAAAAGTTAAATGAATGTTTAAAAAGAAAAACAGAGGGAAAAGATGTTAGAAATGTATCTTTCACACTGTCACACAAATAAAACAAAACACTGTTTTAAAGTCATGGTCTTTCTGTTACCTCAAAATTGCAGTTGGAAAGCCAGTGGCGGATGCAATGTTAGTACCTACTAGCTACTAACATGCCTAACCCTGCAGAGGGAGTAGTGTGATCCAATGAAGTAAGCATAGTCTCAAAACTCCAAGTCCTAACTTTCAGTGCTCATATCCTTAGAAGATTATTTTTGGGCTTTGAGTGACTTACCATCTGTCACATTTTTCTTGGCATAAAAGGAATAATAATTACTTCCTGGTAGTGTTGCAACAATTAGCTTAAAGTTTGTAAAATGCATTTGGAGGTACATATTAAATGTACATATAGGAGGTCGTAATATTTGGAAATCAGTTTGAGAATAAAAGAAATTCTTTGTACAGTATTGGTCATTGTTCCATCAAAGGGGATCAAAATAGGAGTGAACAAATTTGAATATAATGAAATACCTTTTAAGAAGGTTGCAGAAAGAATAGTTGCTGTTTCTGTCTAAATATATAATACTTTTTCCCTCTCCTGAATATACTTGTAGTAATGATTGAATAGGGATTAAAACTGTGAGGAATTTTCTTGGATGTCAGTCTTTGAGGAAAACCTTAATAACCTCTCTCTGTAGTCTGATACTTCTGTGCTCAGAAGTATTTGCTTTCCATTCCCCTTAATCAGTTCCTTACTAAGATTACTTACCTTCATCTCATCACCTTCATTTTAAGAAATAATTTCCTGTGTAGCATTACATCAGTGCTTTAATTATTTCTTTATAGATTACAGCCTCTGCAGTTTCTTTGTATACAAAATAACTTAATTCTGTCAAAGAAAAGTACCAGCTTGTATTAGAACAGTCTTAATTTTCACAAACCTGTTTTTCATATATTTAATTTTCCATGAGTTTCTGTATTGTATTTTTTTTTTTTTTAAAGTCTGCACATTGGTTATGTGAATCACTGTCAGGATCATTTCCTTTCCCTTCACCACCTTTATAAATGTATTTGGGTAAGAGAAATATGAATGATATTAAATGAGTCTTTGATGTAGTGAGAGAAGGAATACAAGGAAGATTGGTGGCTGCAAAATTAGAGCTGAAAAGAGTAAAGGTAAAGTATGCGGTTTTGGAGCAGAGAAGATGAGATCTTGCACACTCTAGAGATGTGATGAGTTCTCCCAATCTGTTCTTCAAGTTTGGATGTGCACCTTAAAGGCACTTTGTAATCAAATGACATATTTCTGCAAGGTTCTTCTAGGAAGAGTTGTTATGACTAAATGATGTAGCCTTTCCATTATAAATAAATGAAAATATTGGAAATGAAGATAATTCTTCGAAATTACCATTAAAGCCAAGTTTATTTTCTCTAGAAGCCCAGTTAACCTGAGGTAGAGTTGTATGTTCATCCCTTTCAGTATTAAAAATGCCAGTATTTTTGTCTATCAGCTTGTCTTCGTATAAATGGAGAGGAAAGTATCTAGAGATTTTGGGTGGTGGGTTCCTCCCAACATGAAAATTCTAAAGACTTCTATGTGGAAGAGGAGGAATAGCTAAATGTCAGCTGGAGTTATCCCAGGCATGTGCTATCCAGAGGTAGTTGATAGGCTTGGGGATATTTTGTAGGTATACTTGGGAAATATTTGTGAAAGGCAATTCAGTGTAAAGGTAGAATAAAAAGGCACGTGAATTTGCTTGTAAAAGGAAGGTATTGTGGAGAAAAAACTGTCAAATAAACAAAACAGTACATTATCTCATTTTTATGTATGCTGTGTTTTGGAGAAATGCTGCTTGCCAGCTGGTGCTCTTATATTCGCACAGTATTTGATAACAGAGAGTGAAAGTGGGCCACCGACTGTCATTGCCATTTCAAGCATTACGTTATCAGTCCTTTGTGGGCAAAAATAATTGATACATATTAAATGCATAAACCTGAAATTCCACCTGCACAATAAATGGCAGCATGTTAGTACTAAAGCAAAAGAGACACCTTTATTTGCTGGGAGCAAGTAGTGTGCTGGATTAACGTAGTACTAGAGAATGAGAATCTTCTGGGCTGGATATCCATGGTGTTAAGGGATTTAACTAAAAATAGGATATCAGATAAGTTTCTCAGGAATGCTACTGCAGTTGTGTTGAACATTATTAAGTAGGAGATAATACTTTTGTCATGTATTGAGTAATGAGTCCAACCACTGACCTGAGTTCTCTAGAGCGTTGAAATTATGAGAATACAATAATACCAGGCTATGATTAGCTTTGACAGGTTTTTTTCTGTAAAACTTTAATAGTGCTTTGTAACTGTAATGCACTTAAAAGTGGTTTTGATAATGTCATTAGAAAATAATTTGTTAATATCAGTATGTTGAGGAGAAATTCTTTTATGAATATATTTTAGGGGTGGGTGGGTGTATATATGTGAGTGACCAGGTGTTTTGGAGGAGGTTTAGATACTCAGATGCAGGAAAATTTCGATGAGCGTTAACATTTTAAAAAAAACTTTGAAGTGGACTCTTTGCATATTACTATTTTTACCTGTTACCATCTTTTTTCTGTTATATTTTTTTACTTTCTGTTATAAGTAGGCTCAAATGGCAGCTGTGGTTAAGAATTACCTAGTGCACCTTTATTTTAATCTTCATTTGGTAAATAGATAAAATAATTTTTATCTTTGCAGCTGCAGTTTTCAGATACTGATCTTGGGCCAGGGATAACTTGTGTTTGATAGGTTTAATCAAAACAAAGTGTGTAAAAGGTGTATAACCGTCACTTTCACAATGTAGCCTTAGTTTAGAAACTGGTATTTGGCATGAAAACTGGATTGAAAAAGGAAAATAGTTCTTTTTTCCATGGAAAATATAATTTGTTTTGGCAAAGAACTAAGAATGTGGGAATTATAGTTTGTCAGTACAATATTTTAATCTCAATTACAGTACTGCCTAACAGTTGTTCGCCAGCAAGTGGACCAGGGCTGAGCTATATTTTTGAGATATGATGGTTTAGGAATATAATTAAAGAAGGATAACCTGATTAAGCAAAGTTTCATAAAGAATTATGGAGTTGGGAAACTTACAGGAAATTATTAAAAGTACAGTGGTCAGCAAGGGTAACTGGGCTTCCTACAGACCACTGGTTCTTCCAAGCTGTTGTTTTGAGTTAATTGCTCAGAAAGAGACACTGTATTGCCTGGAGGCTTCTGTTTATTGCACCATACAATTATTCTGCAATATCTGAGAGGCTTTTTCAAATAAAATTTTTCATTTGCCATCGGGAACAAGTCTGCGCAAAATGTTTCCCTCTGATTACAAAATTAAATTGACTTTTGCTTTTCTTTTATAGTTAGTGACAGAAAGAGTGCAAAGGTAGTACATGAGGGCACCTTTTCTGATTTTTTTTTTCTTTTTATTATTTAAGACCATTAAGAATTTCAGTATAAAATATCTGTAAATGAAGTATCAAAGTTACTAAGATGAAAGCAGGAAAATGGTTCATTCATGTGTTTCTTTAATTTTACTCCTAATGTGTGTGTTCAGAATAACTTTTTATTTTAATGCTTGGAACTCTTTCTGCCTCAGAACCTGGAGATCTACAAAGCAAAAGTTGTTTTTTGACACCTTTTAGGTTGTCTTGTTCTGCAGTCACCAGTTATTAATTAATTGTTAATACTTGTTCATTTATTTGTCTGGATGCAAAATAGCTTACTCTGTCTGCTACTCACATGCGGCTGTGACCTGAATTGCCTTCTTTACTGCAGAATTTTTTAACTAGTCATCCTCTTTGCACTGGTATACTTTTTAAAAAAAATAGCTTAAATATTTGATTTGAGATAAAATACTATTTCAGTTCAGAGTAATTAAAAATGTTTTTCATATGTGTGTGTTACAAATACACATTAAAATCCTTGTTGATGTTGCTGTTATGGTTTATCACAAAAAAAAAATAATTACTATGTTTATACAGTGGTAATACTGGGGGGTTTAGTTGCAGTTTAGAACCAGGAGTTTCAAAGCAGCTTCCCAAGGTGCAGTAGTATCTATTTGCACATTTGAACAGAATTACTAATGGAACTTTTTCATTATGCGGTGAAGGAACCTACTCAAATACTGCAGCAGAGACCAGAGCACTAACTTTATTTGCCTACTACGTTCCCGTGTATGAAATTAACTTGTTCTGGATACTGCACCAACGTACTGGCTGAAAGTTTCAACTGGCATTAATTGCTATAGCTACACTGAAGTCAGTGAACAAGAAGTAACAAGTTTATAGCGGCTTTATTGTTTGATATTTGCATTTATTTTTCCTTAGAAGGATTATCTGTTTAACCATTAAACAACTGCAAAAAGACTTAAATAGTTTAGTATTTCTTGTGTCCTTGCCCTTGAGTAAGCACATGTAGTACGTGATCGTGAACACTAATGTATTCTAGTTAACCATTTTTCCTTCCTTCTCTTCTGCAGGCATTTGGGCCTAGATTTAGTTCCTCGGAAGGACTTCGAGGTTGTGGATTCAGATCAGATCAGTGTTTCAGATCTTTACAAAATGGTAAGAAATTTGTGGGAGATTCATTTGAGTTTTCACTTTGGGAGAGAAAGAAGGGAAAAAGTTTTTATTCTTTACTCTTACCTATTTTCTTGATTAGAACAGTGTCATAAGCTGAATGGCTCTTTCATTTGCACCCTAACCACCAGAACAGTGTCTGGAGTACCCTGGGTTTAGTAAGAATGAACGAACTTTCTTTCAGAAATGACATGCTTATATACATTTTCACTTCGGTTTACAAAGTAACACACTATGAAAACTGGAGAAGGTAACTTTGAAAGTTGATTCTTCCTACAGTTTTCTTGGTTTTAAAATCTATTGTTTCAGAAGCAGCAAAAGAAGTTCTAAAAAATTAGATCGATCCTATACAGCTAATGGGAATCCTTTTAAACTTTGGTCTTTGTTACCAAAATCAATATACTAGCATTAAATAAAGTAGTAATAATCTTTTTTCATTTATTTGTAGAATTTAAGAAAAATAGGGCTGGAAAATCTTAAGAGGTTATCCAGTCCATTCTCCTGCTTAATGTCAGGATCAACTGTCATTTACGACAATTTCTTCTCTGTTTCTAAAAATCTCCAGTGGTTAAGACTCCATAACCTACCCAGGCAATCTTTTTGCTCAGTTCACTGTTCTTACAGTTTGGAAGTTTTACTAACGGTGTTCTTTAAATGTAGAGGTTTCTCACTGCAGGTTAAGCTTCTTGTCTTGCTGTCGTGTCCACAGAGAAACAGATCACTCCTGCCTGTTTGCACCACCCTTAGGTATATGAAGACTTGTTAAGTCCCATTCAGTCTTCTCTTCCTTAGGCTAAAGAACCCTATTCTTCCAGTTTTTCTTTATAGGTCAGGTTTTCTAGACCTCTGGTTCCTGCAGGTATTCTGCAGACTTTCTGTTACATAATCTGCAGCTTGCTGCTGCCTTTTGCAAGTATACCACTGAATTCTGTCAGATGGGAAATAATACAAAATCATGGAAGCTCCAGTGATAAACTGGTTATGTCTTGCAGAGGTCTGTTCATTTGAAAGCACCATGAGCTAGGCAAATGTCCTGGCAAATTTTATTGATGTATGATGAAGGTGGCTAACAGATTGACGTGCTTTTGGGTTACTTGATCATTACTTTGAACAGCAATTACCGATTTGCTGGGAGAAATAGAACTGCTTAGTGTTTTAGGATCTAGTTTTGATCGGTCTATTTTTTCTGTTAATTAAAGCTTCTTGAGCTTGGAGTCCATCAACAGTTTGTGTGAGTCTGGAAAGTCTGTGAGAGCCACTATTTGTTCTTTCAGGAGAGTCTGCAGATGCAGGTGAAGAATACTTATGTGAAGTCAGCTTCTAGCAGTTGAACAGATAATAAACATCTTTGCCCTGTTTCAAAGATTTTTGAGCTCACAAAAAAAAGGGGAGGAAGGGGAAAGACCAGTGAATAAGTTAATTTAAGCAAAACTAGTCCTTGATCATTAAGGCCATTTCTGTTGTGTGGCAGTTTCCCGTAGAAAATACAGGTGGTGCATTTGAATAAGAATGTTAGGATTTTCAGGAAAAGTAATACAATTCCTTCATGCAGTGAGTTCCAACTTTGATCATTATTAGTCACTAGTACAGCCATATTAGTAAACAGAGTAGTTAAAGTTGGTTTAGAAATATGAATTGTGCCATTAATGAACTGTAAAGCCACTAATGCACTTCACAATTTAACTGTGTTTGGATTCTTCTTTGTTAGTAGGACTATGTAATATAGTTAACTTTGTTTTGGATCATCATGTAACTGTAAAGGGAGAAAGAGCATGTAATGTTCAGTGGAAGGTGAATGAAGACCTTTTCTGAGATGCTACTTTATTTAAAAAAAAAAACCAAACAAAAAACCCATCAAAAAAACTCCAGCAATTACGTTAATACAATTTCTTAGCTTAATATCTTCCAAAGACAATAGTGTTTCTTCTACATAAACCTTGTTACAGTTTCAATTGCTTATAGTAAGCTTTTAATTTCCTATCTTAAATGTTTTTGGCTTTCAGCTGTCTAAGATGAGGGAGTGAGGGCCGTGCCTAGGTGAGGTTTTTTGATATGAAAGATTCAATTCTCCCTAAAACAAAGGCATGTTTTGTAAACAGGCTATATACTGTTGCTGGTTTGGATTATTTGGACTGTATAACAGGGGGTTTCATGGAAAGAAATAAAAATTGTTACATAAGAAATACTGAAGTTCATCACTCTGTAGTACTAATCTTTAATGTTTGTTCCTGATTTGCCATAGACCGAGGAGAGTTTGGTGCTATTACAGCAGTTTTCCTTCAGATACAGTGTAGAAATAATTCTGCACAAAAGTCAGTCAGTAATGACTCAGAGAATGCAAGATTAGTTTCCAACACGATTGCTTTATTACTCCATGTTTCATTCTGAAGGTATATTTACACTGAATACTTATAGTACAGCAAGTAGCTAATATTTGTCAGAGTAGTGTGATTATGTCACCCATCTTGGTCTTGAAGAAAATGTCCATAGCACATTTTGCTGCTCAGATCTGTACTGGTATCAGGACATGACCATTAGTCAGTTCACACTTCTCAGTTGCATTAGTTTGTAGATTCAGGAAGACAGTGCTGTCTAGTCACATCTAGTTCATACTCAGAAGGCAATTTCAGGAACCAAACCAGCTGAAAACCTGAGTTTTTTTTAACTTAAATTTAGCAGAAATTGACGCAGGGGGGTATTGGCATTTTTTTCTTGTTTTGGGTTTTTTTTGTGTGTTTGGGTTTGTTTTTATTATTTAACCCAGGGAAAGAATCCTCCTTACTCCTGGCAAAATACTTTAATGGCTTCTCAAATGAGCAATGAGGTTTTATGTTGTAACGTAATCTTGTGGGAGTAGTTGTGAGAGCCCAATTACTTTCTCATGTTTGCAGGATTGTAGAATGTTAAATGTACCATAGAAAACAGTCTCGTATTAGCAGAACAATAGACGAAGTAACACATTAGACTTTCTTATCTGTGACTACAAATTCAGGCATTTTATGGAGTTATTAGACTTGGCATTACTTCTTGGTAAACTTTAAATTTTAAAATTTGAGCATCTTTTTCAGCTCTCATTTTTCATTGCTAATTATATTTGTGACTCCTGTATGACTACTTATTCATTTTTTTGCCAGAATCATTGTGCTTTGAGGCCTTGTATATCCTGTTTCTCTAAGTTACTTGTTATGAAGCTGAATACTAGTGGCTTCAGGATGCACAGCATTTGTCAAAAAATCATTGCTTTACTCCTGAAGGAAACTAAATTGCCCTTTCCTTATGACAATGTTTGTGATGTTAACTGAGATGATGGAACACTTCTTTAAAATTTACATTACTTCTGAAATTGTGGGAAAATATTTTGTCAGAATTCTGCCACAGAGCTCAGTGCTGCAGTTGCCACTAGATTAAAGCTGTCATTTAGCCACAGCTAATAAGTCCATCAGAATGTCAGAAACACTTGGGTAGCACTTTTTAATGAAAGGGGTTACAAGACACAAATGTCTGGAGGCATTTGCCAACATCAGAAATGTTCAAACCTGGTGATTAAATATGTTTTGCTTTTCTGTAAATTTATTGATTTGTGTGTGTGTCTTCAGGATGAATTCAAGAGGTGCATGAAAGGCACAACTATTGGCTATGTTACTGCTAGGTCTTAGCCATCTTCTTCATCTGAAAAAGATACCATCAGTTTACCAGTCTAGTAAATGACAAGTTTCAAATTAATGCTGCCATCGCCTCATAATTGCTTATTCTTTATTGATTAATTGATTCTTTATTGAGATTGATAAGAACGAGTAGTTATAAAACTTGAAAATAGAGACTTCAATTGCCCAGAACTCTGTTAGAAAAGGAAAACAACAAACTGTGCAGGAAATTAATAAAATCTCTTATTTATTTATTTATTTAACGAAACAGATGTCAGAGGACAGGTTTGTGTACATTTGGTTCTAAGCCCTAGTAAGAAGTCGGTTGAGACTATGAAGATAGAAGGCAGTTTGTTTGAGACTGACTTGGTAATGATAGGGTTCACGTATCAAGCATCATTAGGAAAGGGAGGAGGAAGAACAGCAATAAAACTTAATATTGATAGATAAGATATCATGAGAAGCCAGTTTGATGGGGAAAAAAGAGATGAGGAGAATTACAGAATCACAGAATGGCTAGGGTTGGAAGGGACCTCGGGAGATCATCTAGTCCAACCCCCCTGCTAAAGCAGACTCACCTAGAGCGTGTTACACAGGACTTCATCCAGGCAGGCTTTGAATATCTCCAGAGAAGGAGACTCCATAACCCCCCTGGGCAGCCTGTTCCAGTGCTCTGTCACCCTCAAAGTAAAGAAGTTTTTCCTCATATTCAACTGAAACCTCTTATGTTTCAGTTTGTGCCCATTGCCCCTTGTCCTGTCGCTGGGCACCACCGAGAAGAGTCTGGCTCCATCCTTGTGACATCCACCCTTAAGCTATTTGTATGTGTTGATGAGATCCCCTCTCAGTCTTCTCTTCTTCAGGCTGAACAAGCCCAACTCTCTCAGCCTTTCCTCGTAGGGGAGGTGCTCCAGTCCCTTTATCATCCTAGTTGCCCTCCTCTGGACTCTTTCTAGGAGTTCCTCATCTTTCTTGAACTGGGGAGCCCAGAACTGGACACAGTACTCCAGGTGGGGTCTCACCAGGGCAGAGTAGAGGGGGAGGATAACCTCCCTCGACCTGCTGG